CCCGTGTCCCCAGGAGTGGGGACACCGCTGTGTGCACCCCCCCGCCCCCCCTTCAAACAGCTTTTCCCCCTCCCGAGTGCTGCTAGGGGCGTTTTTAGCGTTATATTTTAATTTCCTGCTCGTGCAGCCCCGCGCTCCGGCGCGGCGTGCCGCGCTGCCAGGACCCACGCAGGAACGAAGCTATTGCTGATTTACTAGGAACGCAGCCTTCGGAATGGTTTTCCGATGGGTTCGTGCAGGCTGGGGCTGTGGTGGTGCTGGGGTCCCTCGGCTGCAGGAGATCTCCGTAATTTCTGTGCCTGCGGCAGGACCAGGGCAGGGAGCTCCCCCACCAGCCCAACGTCTTTCCTAAGCAGGTGGATTGGAAAGCAGTTGGGAACACATCTTCGATCCGAGTTTCTTGGCGCAGTTTTAAAACCTCAGGAGAACGCAGCTCGTCGTAGGACCCCTTCCCAATGGTGCTGCTCTACTGCATGCTCCTTGCTGCTCCTGCCTCTCTTTCCCCTTCCCCGGAGGTCATCCCTGTTGAGGCTGCACAACACATCCTGACTGCAGATGGAGCCGGCTGGGGATTTGCTCATTCCCTTTAGGGAATTCCCTTTAGGATCGTGGCCCGCCTTGCTCCCCGTTGCTGTCCTCCTCCTCCTCCTCCTCGCCCGTGCTGACCGTGTGTCTCCTCCCGCGCTCGCAGTGGGTCTCCTGGCGCGCCGCGGCCTCCCCGATGGCAGCGCCCGACGTGAGCGTGCACATGGAGGAGGTGGTCGTGGTGACGACGCCGGACACGGCGGTGGACGGCAGCGGCGTGGAGGAGGTCAAGACCGTGCTCGTCACCACCAACCTGGCCCCGCACGGGTAGGAAGCGCCTTTGCCTCGGGAGCGCCGCGCCGGGACGGAGCGGTTGCGTGCGGGAAGTCCTCGTGTTGCAGGACCCTGAGCCCAGGCTCGGGGTGGCGGCGAGTGTCTCCTGCGACTCTGCCCGTGCCCCTCGTGCAGCGCAGAGCCGCGTGAGCCGTCCCGGGGTTGATGCATTTCCAAGCATCCTGCTCCCGTTCAGGCCTTAATGCCATCAAACAAATCCCATGGATCATTGATTGGGGTGTTTTACTCTGCATTGCTTGCGCCAGGAGCACCCTGGGGACCCCTGTGAAATCCCAATTTCAGGTTACTTCCTTGCTGACGCCGCTGAGAGAGCAGGTGCTCGATATCTGCACAAACCCGGTGACGTTCTGCTGCCTTGCGCTGCGGACTGGAGCAAAAATGAGTGGTCTCTGCTCCTGCTCTGTGAAAGTGGCACGTTTAAACGGCCTTCCGCTTGCTGCCAGAAATAAAAAGCAATGCTTAAAAAAAATAAAAGGAACAGTCAGTAAAAAGCAATGTTAAAAAAAATTATAGACAGCTGCGTGAAAATGGCTCTTAAGGGGTGGAGGAGACAGGTGAGCGGAAGTGAATGGTGGGATGGACACAAGCACCAGTGACTAAATTCGTGTTTTTCCCCTAATCGTAACCAATTTCCTGAGCTCCTCCTGCATCCTCAGCGCCTGGGCCATGGCGAAGCAGAGCGGCTCTTCCCAGCGCTGCTCGAGGGCCGGGTTTTGAGCAGAGCTCTGCGAGAAAACTCTGCTGTCCCTGTCAGCAACACGAGTGGGATCACTGCCCCAGTGTAACAGATGTGTCCTTGAAACCCCAAAATACTGAAACCAAACCAAAGTGAACCAAAGTGAATTTGTGTGATTTTTTTTTCTTTCCCTCTCTGTCTTTTTTTGATGGTATTGTAGATAGGAGAGTGCTGCTCGTTCTTCTTGGACTTTTCTTGGGCTTTCACGACATGCAAGCAGTGCTTGTTTTATACCTGGAAGCTCGGGGCAGTGCCAGGTTATTCGCTTTGCTTCTGCGCGTCCCTGGGTGGTCCCAGAGCCTGGTTGTATTTTGGTGCTTCTGGTGCTCTGGCTCTTGCAGCAACGCAGGGTCCCAGCCACAGGCGGCTCCAGGCAGGTTTGTCCGACCCAGGAGCTCCGACTGCAGCTTTGTTCTGTAAAATGGACTCGATTTCCACTGCTCTGCTGCCCCTATCATAAACTCGTGGAGAGGCTTTAGCTCCTGGTGGGAGTGGGGCCGGGACAGGCGAGACGCGCGCTGCTCTCGCTGCACTGCTGAGCAAGTGCAAACGGGGCTTCTACAACGTTACGCTGCAAAGGGCAGCAAGGATGCGTGCAGAACCTGCCCCCTTTCCTCCCTGACTTCTTGAGCCTCCAAACTATTTCCGAGAGTCTTTTCCATTCCCAAATCATGGATGATGGCGGGAGGAGAGCATCGGCTCTTGCTCTTGGGCAGTTTTTACCTGCAGTTACCTCCTCCTTGGCAGCGAAGCAGCCAGGCCTGGAGCTGCGGCTCCTCTTGGATGCAGAGGGATCCTGGTTTTAACGTGGTCGCAGGCCCATTTGCCACAGGTTACATGGCAACACGGCTTGCGGCAGAGACGGGCTCGATCGGTTCCGTTTCATTTCATCCTTTTATTTATTATTTTTTTTCTTCTTTTCCCCTCCCATCTTTCTTTGGAAACTTTCATTCATCTCCCTGGTGTGTCTCTGTTCAGCCAGAAGCAGGAGAGTGCCGAAGCGTGGGGAGAAGACGGTTTTACTTGTCTGTATGTACGAGTGGAGGGTGGTTTTGCAGGCATTAAGAGGTTCCTGAGGGCTTTTCAGGAGACCTCCTGCCCTTGGCACATGGCTGGCCTGCTTCCTCCAGGCACATTCCTCCCGGCCCTGTGTCCGTGCTCCGTGGGTAGGTTGCAAGGATTTGGATTTGGGGCAGATCGTGCGGTGCTGCCCCGCTGAGCCGCTCTCGTGGGGTGAGTTTGCAGTGTTGATTGTAGGCGGCAGGACAAGGCACCCACCATCCCGCTCCGAGGTTTGCCTGGCTGCCTCTGCAGGAGCTCCTGTTCCTTCCATTCCTTGGGAGGGTCTGTAGCCTGCTTTGGTCTCCTCTTGCTTTCTTTTCTCTTTCCAGGGCTCTTGCCAGCCCCTGTTTCCATAAGAAAAGTAGCTGAAAGCATGAACTTTGGTTCTTGTGCTTTGTCTCCATCACTGCTTCTATGGGAAGTAGGCTTTGAACTTGTGTGAGAAACAGCTTAAAATGACAAAGCTCCGTGTTGATGCGTTTTTCTTGCTTTCTTTTGGGTGTGTTTTTGCCGTAGGAAAAAAAAATACAAGCAACACACGAGAGTTTAATTAGTTCATGTATATTTTGGATTGACTGAAAAAGGCAGAGGTAAATAGAATAAAGGTCAGCAAGAAGCTTCACTCTTGGATGTGATTGGAAGAGATCTGTATGCCCACATCCCATCAGTTGGCCAGTATTTCCAGTTAACATTCCTGGCACAGTTTTTGGGTGCTTCCCAGGTAAGAGCAGCAGAGGAAGCAGCAGCAGGCCGGTTGCTTCATCAACACGTAGTTTCTCCCTTTTCTCCCATCTGGTTTGTGGATTCTCCCGGGGAGAAACTTGAGAATGATCCTACCCCGCGAAACGTGAGCGCTGCTGCCTCCCACGGCTTTGTCATGACAACCAGCCAAGGCCCGGCCTTGCTCCGTGGGATGAACCGCTGTGGCTTGGGAGATGGCTGGATGCTCTCCTGCTCCCCTCTGCATCCGCCGCTCCTTTGGCCTGTTCCTCTGGAAGAAAATGGGGGACAGCAGAGAGGGAAAAGTGTTGCTCAAACTGCCGCTTTTTGATCATGAGCCTGTGTGCAAATGCGTTGCCTTGCGTTGTTGTCGCATCTCCCTTGCAGGCGCTTCCTGGCTGGGCGTTGTTGGTCGGCGCACGTTGCAGTATGACAAAAACGCACTGCTCTTCTTCCCAAACCTGCCCTCTCCTCAGCTCCCCCTTGCTCTCACCCTGCAGCACCCTTGCTCTCATTGCTCATCCCACACGAGATGCTCCCACGCGCCGTCCCGGGTCCGCGCAGCACCCTGGCCACCCGCAGCGGGGAAGGGCAGGGATGCTCCCCTTGAAGCTGCAGTTCCAGCCCGGAGCTGTGTGTTGTGGTGCCGGGATGGAAGAACCGGTTGCTCTTGAATCCGATCGTCCTGGTAACGTTGCCGCTGGGAAACGCAGCCCCCGGTGACTCACTGCGCCTGTTGCTCTAATTCACTGATGGTACCAAAACAGGACAGGTTTCAGGTGTGTGTTCCCCACACTGTCTTCCATGGGGACAGTTTGTGTGTTGTGAAGCCACTAAAGAACCAGAAAAGTTAAATTTGGTTGTCGTTCCTCTTCCAAAGAGGTAGAACAGATTTACTGCTGCTCTGCTGTAATTAGACTGGTCCTCTTCAAAAACAAAACCAGATATACATCTTCAAACCCATTGGGATGGTGAGGTAGTGTTTACGTTGTGAGCTGGCTGGAATTTACACAAACAATCCATGGAGAAGCCGTATGAGCCCTTCTTGCACGGGAGTCTCGAAGGAGATGAGGACCCATCCTTGAAGGAGATGGTGAGCTCCCAGATCAGAAGAGCCAAATGTGAAACGTTTGCTTATAAGAGGCTGAGTTTGGAGTTTAAATGTCTATAGCTTCTGTTGCCTTAAGCCTGGTCTTGGCTTCCCTGGGTTTTGTGGTGTTCCACGGAGTTTGTGTCGCTCTGAGCTCCTGCTGCAGCGCTGCGGCTCCTTGGCTCTGGGCTTAGCTCGCCCGCTGCCCACGCAGGGTAGGGATGTTTCACACGTGCGTTCCTGGGGAAGCTCTTCCAGGAGGAGCTGCCAGGATCTTCTAAGGGAGGCTTGGGAGAAGTCTCCGTAGCGCCGACAGCAGCCCCAGGAGCACGGCAGGGCGCCCGAGCAGGGGCTGCAGGGGACACAGGCTGTGATTAAAGTGACGTGAGGCAGACATGGGTGGCTTTTGGCCGGGCTCCTTTCTTGTTGGCTGCGGGATTTTTATTTTTGTAAAGAAAAAACAGACCTGAACCACTCAGAACCGGGGCTGAGTCCTGCCTCTTGTGGGAGGACGCAGCACAAATGACTTCCAAAGTTGCTGGGGCCTCTTGGAGATGGCGGGAGTGGGGATGGTGCTTCCGCGTCGCTCAGTTTTGCGTATTCAACTCTCTTCCCAGCGGTGACATCAATGAAGACACCCTGGAGACGGAGAACGCAGCTGCGGCGGCGGCGGCCGCCTTCACAGCCTCCACGCACCTCAAAGAAGCCGTCCTAGGTAGGCGCAGGCGCTGCGGGAGCGCGAGCAAGGAGGGTCCTGCAGAGTGCCCTGCTGTCCCGGCCCCGGGGATGCAAACCTTGGGAAGGAGCCTCGGGAAGGAGCCGGCCGCTCCGCAGGCTGGAGTGCTGCCGCCCTCTCCTGGCACGGCCGAGCCTGGCACGGCCCTCGCGGCTCCTGCTGCTGCTTCCCGCCGGGACAGCCCTGGGATCCGGCTGTTTGCGGCAGGCCCACAAGCTTCTCTTGTAAGAAAAAGTGGATTTAATCAGTAATAATTGGAGCTCAGCTGGGGCTGGCGGTGCTGGTGAGATGGGAGCTACCTGATCTGCTCCATCGCTGGGTTTTAGTTGGGAAGAATGGAGAGCACAATCCAGTGGGGAAATGGACCCTTAAATCTTCCCCGTCCTTGGCCTAACACTGAGTTTTTTGTAGCATGGAGCATATTGGAGGCTGCAGGGACGTGCGGCCGGGCTGCCTGCACAGCAGTTATCCTACAGAAAGGTGCAGTGGCCAGTGGCACCTGAGCACCCTGCTTGAGGAGGCTTAAAAGACTGAGTTGTCCTAAAAAGAAACTGTTGCACTAAAAAAATGAGGGTGAAAGTGGCTTCATTATTTTCATTCTGATAAATGGTATCAAAATTTCAGCCCTAGCCAATGACTTCTCAGGTTTCATGCGCTCTTCTGTGGGGCTGAAAATTTGCTCGTGCAATTTTGTACATGAAATTAGGGTTGTTGGACCTTTATTAATAAAATGTGAATTAATTATGGCCACAGAAACCAGCTGCCCTATCTGCATATTTTTACCCTTGGGTTTTGAACTGTGCTTTGGCACTATATGTGCAACCCTGAGGGTCAGTCGGGAGCTGCGACTCACATTTCTTCTTGCTCTGTCCCTGCCTCTGCTCCTCATGAGAAGTGAAGATGGCTGAAGATGAGGACAGCTTGGAGGCAGAGATCGTTTACCCCATCACCTGTGGTGACAGCAAGGCCAACCTGATATGGAGAAAATTTGTGTGCCCTGGGATCAACGTGAAGTGTGTGCAGGTGAGAATGAGACCCGTGTGTGCGGGAGGAGGCAGGTCCTCCGTGACCCTCCTCTCCTGGAGTGGGCCAGGCCATCTAGTGCCAGCGCTGGGCTTGCCTAGGCTGCTCAGATAATTTGGGAAAACTCTAGTAAACGTTTCTTGCATCAGAACCCCATCTTGGTGGGAGATTCTTAGTGCTGTATTCTTGGATTTGTCCTCAGCAAAAATGAGCACTCCTGGATAGAGGTGCAGTTTCCTTTTAGCTCCACTTTGGAGCGCTTGAAAAACTTCGGGCACTTCTGCTGTTGAGAGAAACCAAGCATTTGGTGAGGAGGTTGATAGGGGAGCTCTTGAATGGTTTCTTCTCTGTCCTCGATGGCTCATGGTTGCAGTCTGCAGGGATGTGGGGAGGAGGGCCAGATGTTCCCATCCAGGCACACACTTTGTGATGCCCTAGTGGGGCATCAGTGGCATTTAGACTGATTTAAAAAGTGCAGTTTAGGGAGTATCTTCTTGGCCTGTCTTGTGAGGAGCTCCTCTAAGGGAGAAGGCCATGCCCATCTCCAAAGAAACAGGCAGTGCTGGAGATCAATTGCTTCTGCTGTTGTCTAAAATCAGTTTTCTCTTTGCACGGTGGCCCTTGTGCTTGGGAGACGGATGTAGCTCATGTCATGCAGTAGCTGAGCATGAGCTTCGCCCTGGCTGAGATGGGTGGTGTTCCCTGCACCTGGGAAGTTCTTCTGGAGGCTGCCCATAAAGCCACTCTCTCTCAGACCGCGTGGTTCAGGGGATTGTTTTTTATTTAGCTCCTGAGTTAAGATACAGCTGGGTGTGGGGGTAATAAGAGAAATGGGGCAAGTGACAAGGTACATGCCAGCGGTCCCCAACGAGCCCTCTGTGAAGAGGGTGTGTGACCTTAACGAAGGTCAGAGCTTTAATGGGACCTTAACGAAGGTCAGAGTTTTAATGGGTATCAGTGGTTGTGCCTGATAGCAAACCCTGTGGGAGGTCAAAGAGCAGGCAGTAACAGCGCTGCTCCCCTTTGCCCTGGGACCTTGGTGCGAGGATCTGGGTTTGTGAGCGGGCCGGGGGCTGCCAGGATCCAAGGGGCAGGAGCTGCTCGGAGGCCCCCGGGATCCAAGGGGCAGGAGCACTCGAGGGCCAGCTGGATCCAAGGGGCAGGAGCACTCGAGGGCCAGCTGGATCCAAGGGGCAGGAGCACTCGAGGGCCAGCTGGATCCAAGGGGCAGGAGCACTCGAGGGCCAGCTGGATCCAAGGGGCAGGAGCACTCGAGGGCCAGCTGGATCCAAGGGGCAGGAGCTGCTCGGAGGCCCCCGGGATCCAAGGGGCAGGAGCGCTCAGGGGCTGCCGGGATCCAAGGGGCAGGAGCTCTCGGAGGCCCCCGGGATCCAAGGGGCAGGAGCGCTCGAGGGCCCCCTGGATCCAAGGGGCAGGAGCGCTCGAGGGCCCCCTGGATCCAAGGGGCAGGAGTGCTTGGACTCGCTGCTAGGCCGCTGCTCACGAGGGGCAGCCGCTGCAGCTGAGGCTCTCTGGAATCTGGAGCTCGTTTCAGAGCAGGAGCTCCCCATGCTGTGAGAGCTCTAAGGGGCAGGGAGCAGCACACTCGTGCTGACAGCTTGCAAAAACACAGGAGAGATTTTGCCTGGCTTTTCCACTTGCTGCCGTGGGATGGAACAGGGTTGGGCATATAGCAAACGCCTGTATGCAGCATGCATGCCAGCTCTTGGCTTTAACGAGCAAGTGCTACTAAGTGTAAAGGAAATATTTGACTTTCAGCTAGAGCTGACCTTAGCTCGGAGTTCAGTTACCCTTCTTGAGGTGTGGGAGCGTTATCAGCTTTTGCTTTCGTTTCTTTTTTCAAACAGGTTTTGAACCCAGGCCTCTGGGCAGCTCCTCTCTGCAGCTGGGCACCAGGAAACGTCACCTCTGCAGCCAGCCCTGGTGCCCCTCTTCTGTGGGGCACACGCTCCTGTGCCGTGCTGTGTCACACTGATGTTGCGTTTCTCCCTCTTGCAGTTTAACAACCACCTAATTAGCCCCAAGGAGTTTGTCCACTTGGCGGGCAAGTCAACCCTAAAGGATTGGAAGCGAGCGATCCGGATGAATGGGATCATGCTCCGGTCAGTCTCTTTATTTGTACGTGCGCAGCCACAGCTGGGTTTCGGGGGGGAAGCGGTTGGATGGGGCAGCTCTGGCACATGCTGCTGAGGGAGCAGTTGCACCACTGCCCGACCATTTATCTTATTGACAGCCTGGCCCCAATATTTTCCAGCCACTGGCTTTGCTTATCCTCGTGCGGAGGGAATAATTTGGGACAACAAATGGTTCCCCGGACTTTTTACAACTTTAACTACACTGCGTTCTCATCTGTAGTAATATCACTGTGAATGTTAATGGTAACTAGTTGTCAGGCTTAGCATGACCTACCAAGTGATATGTGTGGTCATAAACTAACATTATATTATGTCTGCTTTGTACCACTTTTTTTTTTCTCTCCTGCAAGAGGCTTATTTAAAGCTTATATGTGCAAGTGCTTCATCTTCTCTGGCCTTAACTACAGAATTTAATTCCTTTATGGTTGTCTTGAACACCAGCCTCAGTGTGATTCAATTAAGATCTTTCTCTGCCTCTCTCCAGGCTAAAAAAAAAATGAGTGCCTCTGTGTTTACCCCTCTTCTCCTCTGTTAATGCAGGCGGCTTCCATATTATTTCTAAGCAGCTTTTGCTCCATGCAGATTTTATATAATAGACTTATACTTTGCAGGGCAGGTCTTTCAAGGAAGAAACTTCAGAAAGAAGGTGTGAAGGCAAGTGCAGCAGCCCAGCGAAAGCAAATTGTAGGAAGCCAGGGTTGTCCTTGGCCAGCTTGTTTAGATGAGGAAGATCATATATGCCCATCTCGCAACTTGCTTTGCTTAGGCAGAGAGAGACCTTATTTTAGTTTATAGCCAGAAATACATCCCATCTCTTTCTGCATGACATGGTGCAGAAAGGGGAAGGAAGCAGCTTCCTGCTGCCAGCGTCTGCGTGGGGGTTAGGTGCTCAAGGGACCAGAGAGACCTTCTGTTCTCCCTCCCTTCCTTTTGCCCTCAAAACCAAGTCTGTCAGATCCCACGAGAGCTGCTGGTTGAACCCCCATGGAGAAGGGTCTTTGCAGAGGGCGGTGGGACCAGCTCTGGAACCAGCTTGTCTGCAGGCCAGGTGTTTCCCTCCTTGGAAGAGGTGGAAGAGATGCCTTTTCCGTGTGGGAATCCCATGGAAGTGTGGACATGCTCAGGGGTATTTCTGTGCATCACTCCGAGCTGGGGAAACATCCTCAGAACTGATCCCACAGCGCTCTGCAAGGACGATTTTGGCCATGTCACAGCGCAGGGTTAAACTGCTGTGTTACAAAATCGGGTCCTAAACTGTAAATTCATGTGAGGTCTTACATCAAGCAGAGGATGTGTTGAGAGCATGCAACTTGTCCTGATACTTCTAAAGGTGTTTTTAACTTTACAATAATATATCCCTGGGAAAAGTTAATGTGTCTTAAATCTCTCAGCCCAAGCTGGATGTTTCAGGGATGAAGAAAAGGTGTTCTGAAATGTGCCGGTCTTGCCAGTCTGAAGAAACTTGACCTCAGTGATTAGACAGATTAGGAGGGGAATCTTTTTCAGAGTGCTCGAGAATCTGTTTTGGTGAAGCTTCTTTGTGGTTGCTGTTACTGCTGTGACAGAGATCACCAGCTCTACCAGAGCAGCCTGTTGTAGCTTCTCACACCACGAGTCTTGAGCTCACCACTTCCTTTGGTTCTTCTTGCTTGCGTTGGGAAACGAGCCGCTTCCAAGCTCTGCTGCTCTGAAACTTGCTCTAAACCTTTGTGTTTGCTGTGTGCTACCCTGGGCACCTCTAGCAGATTGCTTCCTTTCAAGCTTGAGGACATCACATTCATTTGGCTTTAATCTTTCTTCCTTTACTAATTAATCTGTGTGTGCAGTAGTGAAGGAGAGAACAGGGCAGTTTGCTTCATTGAAGGGATTTTTTTAAGAAAAGCTTTTTTGGTCTCTTCCTCTTTCCTCATTCTAGCTGTTCAGTAAAATTTACTTCTAACACAGTCGGTGCTCGGTTAACCTTGTACTTTCCTCCTTCCTTCCACTCTCATAAGGTCATGTTTTGCTTAACTAGTTAATAACCTCCCTGTGCCCAACCTTGTCTCTGTGTTGGCAAAATCATTGGAACGATCAGCCTTGGATTCATCACACCTCAGATCCATTTCTGGTCAAAGAAGCTCCTGATGCAGCTTGATCCAGCAGGAACATTTGATAGAAAAGTGTTCAGAAATACTAATCTGTTCTAGCTCTCTACCTCAGCCCATCATGGTGTGTTTGACTGGCTTTTTCTTTGCCATAGTGGCTGCTTAAACCACTTTACTGGCACTGACGTAGTGCTTATAATGCTCAGACTTGTACAAAAGTGGCCAGTATGGAACAGGCCGAGGAAATAGGCAGTTTAAATCAACTCTTGCTTAATGTTGTCCCTAAGACCAACAAATAGGGAAACTTGAGTGAAATCTAGACTGTTGCCTTTGACTGTTCGCCTCTTTCTGGCCAGTTGAAGAGAATTCTAGAGATCTTTTTTATTTTTTGTAACCGCTTCTCTTACAGGGAAACGCTTCCTCCTGCTTTCCCATTGCCTGCTAGTTAGGACTGTATTAAAGGAAGAGCAAAGCGGGAGGCCAAAGTGCGGCCTGGGCTTTTCCTCCAGGATTTTGGAAAGTTTTGAGTGGAAGCTCTGCCCGCGCCCAGGCAGGAGGTGTTTCCCAGCGGTCCGTCCGTACCCTGTTGATGCAAGTATGTTCTCATGCTTGCTCCCTGTGTTGCAGGAAGATCATGGACTCTGGAGAGCTGGATTTCTACCAGCACGCTAAGGTCTGTTCCAACACGTGCCGGAGCACTAAAATTGACCTGACCGGAGCCAGGGTGTCTTTGACCAGCCAGACATCAACAGAGTATATTCCTCTCACTCCTGCTTCTGCAGATGGTATGTCCAGCGATTCCTAGCAGGGGCTTTGAAGAGTTAAAGCATAAATAATGCTGCATAATGAATGCCCCATATTGTTGCCTCTGGGTTTTTTTTTTTTGGTTTTGCGGGTTGGTTTTATTCTCTACTTTTTCCTCCCTGCTCTGCTGCAGGACTTCCCCTCTCAGAGCCAGGCAGAGTGACTATTAGGGTGCATCTTGGCAGAGACCTATTAATTCACCTAGGTGCTCTGTAACGCGGCATGACCCAGCGAGCTGCCCCTCTTGCATCCTGTCTTACCCTGAACTCTGTAGCTGAAGCAGAAGACGGCAGTTACTGTGGAAGGAAGCAGGAAAAGGGGGAGTTGCTGCTTGCTGAGGTCATCTTGTGTCACTGCGGTTCCTCTCGGTGCGCGCCAGGCCAGGCTGGGAGTCCCTCTTACTGCACTTCTCTTTTTTTTTTTTTTTTTTTTTTTTTTTTTTTCTCAGGGCTGTAAACTGACTTCTTGCTGAATAATTTAAGCATTTTCATTTAAGGCTCCCAGGCTTGAATTATTTATCATTTTTGTCTGATGAAAGATTAAAAAGAACTAGAGAATACAACAGAGATTTTTAATCTGCCCTCATGCATGTAGTTTAGAAAAAATGGGCTTAAAAGGATCCTTGTGGCTATGCAGCTTTAGCTCTGAACCTAATCTGACTTGTAATTCCAGGTAACTATTTTTTTCAGAAAGTTCTCTAATTTCTAAATACTTTCATATATCCCAAATCCTTTTGTGGCTGAGAACCCCCCATGCCTTCCCCCTGGGATCGGCCTGGAGGAGCGGAATGAGGAGGGAGCTGAGCGTCTCGCTGCCTCTGCAGGGAGCCCGGCGCAGTCCAGTGCTTCGGCAGCGGGACCTGTGGGTGCTGGTGCCGTTTTGGTGGGTGCTGCACCCTCGCTGGGCTCCGTTGCAGCCCCGTTCTCAGCATTTTCTTAAATACAATCCTGGAAACAAACTCGCTAGAGAGAAGGTGCTTCCCCCGGCTGCAGCGTGGAGGCTTCGAGCACGGGGTTCAGTGCCCGGAGCTGCATCCTGGTGCTCCCTAGGGGATCACGGCGGCCTCGCTGGCCCAGGTTTCCCTTTGCACAGCTTGGGTGGCTCCCGTGATCCTGCGGGATTGGGATCAGTGGGAGCAGCTGGGGACCCGGTGGGTGGACGGGCCCCACCACTCTCTGCAACACAGTCCCATGCCCCCGGCTGCAGCCCAGTGTGCAAAGGAGCGTGCTGCAAATGCACTGATTCAGCCCCAAATCCGTGTGACTTCTGTGCCGTAGCAGCGTGTGCGAGCGCAGGAGGCCCCGCAGCCTCCCTGGACACGTGCCACGTGTCCCTTGGGGAGGCGCGGGGCGGGAGGCCCCGCGGTGCCACCCGCGCGGCCGCCTCGTGCCACTCGCCCCTGCGCTGGGCTCGGAGAGCCAAGGGCAGATAAACCCAGTCGGAGGCACCAAAAAGGGAGAGCTGCAGAACGGCAGCGCTTTCTGCAGAAACAGCCTGGGAAAAACATGGGGAAAAATCAGGACTTTTTTTTTTTTCCTTTTTTTCTCGCTATTGGTTGCAGTGAACGGATCCCCGGCGACGATCACCATAGAAACCTGTGAGGATGCCAGCGATTGGAGCGCGAGCGTTGGAGGTACCTCTTGGGACCGCGCTCGGCCCAGCACATCCGGGGCAGAGGTTAGGAGAGGTGCACGGAAAAGAGCCGGAAACGGCAGGGAAATGAATAGGAAATGAATAGGAACTCTGGCTGCAGCTGTCTTAATTTGCAAGTCAGCTTGTATTTGTTTATTGCTCCATGCAAAGCACTGAATTATATCCTGCACGTATGGAATCTGACTGCACCCTCATCTCGAGATAAAATTGTTTCTAAGCACTAGAACATCCAACACAGGCCAAACATTTGGTGTGGCTCTGGGGAAAATAAGAGCTGTCGTGAAACTTCTCTTGCTCCTCTGGTGTAATCTGAGCTAAGGAAACAGATGTTTCTTAGACGGGAATCCTGCTGCTTCATCTAGCTGCATTGGTGAGATCAGATTCCCAAAGGGAGCTCTGCCTTGGTGTCTCTCATGCGCCCTGGGGTTTGATTTGCATCCTGAGCTGAACTGAAGAGCCTTTTTCATGGCAGCAGTGGGCTGTGTGGCCACATCAGGGGTGTGTATGGAGGATGCAAGAAGCATTGGGAGAAAACATCCTTCTAAAGTGCCCCAAGTGTGTGATCTTTGAGTTGCAGCTCCTTCAGGGTGTGCGCTGGGGTTGGGTTTTGCCCCACTGCTGTATATGCAGAGACTGAATGGACTTCTAGGCACGGGAAGCAGAGTCCAGAGCAAACCACCGTGCCCTTGGTGGGCTGCTCCATGGGCAGCCGCTTGTCTTGAGAGGGAGCCATTAAAATCCCCATTGCGTCTTCCGAGTATTTTGGGGGTCTTTTGCTTTCTCTTTCTCCAGATGATGCTTTTGCTTTCTGGCGAGGGCTGAAGGACGCGGGCGTTCTGGAGGAGGTGATCCATGAGTTCCACCAGGAGCTAGTGGAGACCATAAAAGGCTTGCAGGAGCGAGCGCAGGATTCCCCGCTGCAGCTCAGCGGTAAGGAGCTGGTCCTGAGTGCACGGTGGAAAGAGCAGTCTGAGCAGAGGGATTTGGGGATTTTCTCTTTTAGGATGAATGGGTAACTCTATAGGAACATAGCTCACCAAAGCTGAATCAATTTTCTTAAAAAAAAAAAAAAAAAAAAAGGCAATGAGATCAAAAAGGGAATGCTTTTACTGGTTCACTTTTAATTTACCATTCTCATAAATCTTAAATTAATGGGTGTTTTTGGCTTAGTAATAGTTGGGCGGGGAAAGGGAGGCTGCCAGCTGGACAGTCTTCTCCTAAAAGCTGTTCTGGCCGTGTCGTGGCCGCCCGTGAGCAGGGCTGGGGCCGCGCGGGTTCCCTGTGCCTGGTGTTTCCTGTTCCCTGGCTCTAGGTCTTTGGACAAATACTTGGCACAGGAACTTCAGTGGGATTTAGGCCATCAGAGAATGATGCAGCAACCAGCTACGGGGGAGGAGATTTCTTACCAGCCCCTGCTCAGGAGGAAAGGGCTGTTCATACACTAATGATCTCTTGTGCTTTCTCATGATCTTCTGCCTTCTCCCCGTTGTCCTCGCTCAGGTTTTTGGCTACCTCAGTTGAACATGTTTGGGTTTTTATATGGCTTTTTACCAGGGCAAGATAAATATATTGGGAATTTTGCTTTCCTCAAAAATCTGTGTCTTCTTTTTAAGATGCTGTTTTACTCAACAACATTGTCCAGAACTTTGGCATGCTGGACCTGGTCAAGAAGGTCCTGGCAAGCCACAAATGTCAGATGGATCGCTCGAGAGAACAGTACACGCGGGATTTGGCAGGTAACCTCAGAGAAAAGCCCATGTTGATTCCCCTGTCACTGGTAGTGTTTCCTTCCTGTGCATAAAAAAAGTAATGGGTTTCTTGTTAAAGCTGCTGCGTGTGAAACTAGCTACAGAAGGAGCAGCTTGTCACAGTGTGGCGGTGGCTGTGGTCCCTGGGCAGCTTTTGGTGGCCAGGCTGGGTTTCCTCTGCTGACCCTTGTCTCTCTGCAGCCCTGGAGCAGCAGTGTGACGAGCACCGCAAGCGGGCCAAGGAGCTGAAGCACAAATCGCAGCATCTCAATAACGTCCTGATGACTCTGACGCCCGTCTCCGTCCCGACGCCTCTAAAACGCCCCCGGCTCACCAGGGCCACGTCGGGGCCCGCG